ACACACACACACACACACACACACACACACACACACACACACACACACACACACACACACACACTGTAACCCACCTGTTGAAGCCCAGGGGTCAGCCGGCTGACTGAACAACTTGTTCAGTTTGTCCTGCATGTCCTTCTTCCCTCTGCTCTTCTCCTCCTCTTCTACAGGCCTGGCTCCCTTTCTGCCCTCCTCCTCCTCCTCCTCCATCCCTCTCCTCTTCCTCTCCTCCTCTTCCTGTGTCACTCTGTTCAGCCAGGCGTGTGAGGCAGAGACAGAGGCGGGGCTGGGGGCTTTAGTCATGGAGGGTCCTGGTTCATTTGAGGCCAGTCTGCGGGTCAACAGACACACTCAGTTAAAGCTCGTTGCTGACGAGCACACGGTGTTTCCTGCAGGACATGGACAGACCGGTCCGGTCCAGGACTCCTGTCTGTTTGGTCCTTACCCGCTCTCCTGAAGCTCAGCAGACTTTCTGTCTCTCAGCGTTTGAATGTGAGACAGTGTGTGTGTGTCTCCATCCAGCTGCTTCTGTTTCTGTCTCTGCTGCCGGCTGTGGATCTCCCGCAGCTCCTGCAAAGCATCATGGGATACAGGAAGGAACAGCAATGAGGGTGAGGTGGGATCAGAGGGCTGGTTGCTATGGGTTATCACTGACAACACACAAGAGCATCAGCAGCAGCACATGTACATTAGCCAGGTGATGGAGGAAAGCTCCGCCCCTTCCACTGCCTTACTGGGTGCTATGAAGGCCTCTGCTGGAAACCATGGAAAGGCTAAGTCTCTTTGGAACAATTGGCCGGTGAAAGTAAGGAAATCAGCACAGATTTCCTTACTTTTGGGAGATCGGCCGATCGTTAGATAAGATCTGCGGAGAAGATCGGCTTTTCTAGCTCCACAAAGGTCTGAAAATCAGCCACTATCCTTTTTTTGCTCTAATATCCTGTTCAAACAAGTTTGCATTGTTTCAAGGGTGTTTTTCAAAGTATTTCAGTAAAATAATAATTGAACATTGAAGTTTTATTGTGACTTTATAACATCTGACAATGTTGGCTATTTAAAAAAAATCAGTATCTGCAGGTCAGGTTTTTAAAGATCTGAGATCAGCAAGAAAACTGGAATCAGTGCCCCCCTAATATTGACCACTTTATTAACTGTAGGAGTACTGGGACCTGCCTCCAAATTTATTTCTGATTTAAAAACCCTTCATCTGAATATGTTAATGTTTTACTCTGCCCTCCCTCTCTTTTTGTCTAGATATTATTTACTTGTTTTTTTTTTTGGATTGCACAGTCTTGATACTTTGATGGTTGTACAGCTTTTATACTTTTTTGTTCCAAATTTTTGTATATCCAGGTCTGATTGTGTATCTTTTAGATTTCCCTCTGATTGTACAGCACCTTGTGAATCTATTTCTCTGAAAGGTGCTATATAAATAAAACTTTACTTTACTAATTGGTCATGCCTGTGCACACGTAAATTATTAACAAAGAGGAAAATGAAGCAGCAGCAACTCCGACAACCAGCTCACTGTAGCTCATAATTTAGTTTTTTAGTTTGTTTTTTCTTTAGAAAAACTCCAACAGCTGAACTTGAGTCATTCTTGTGTCAGATCTATAAATTTACTGTGCAAATACAATAAACTACTGTTATTGTGTTTTATATGTTAATTATTGGATGTGGAATGGAACTACCTGAAGAACAAAACACATATTATTGGCTCTACAATCCATTTTGTGAGGATTAACACCCACCTACTGCTGAGGCAGATGGTTTCCTCCAGAATTACTGCTGTTTTAAACTACTCTGTCTGAGAAAAATGATCAAACAGGAAGTTTTATTTTGGTCAAGACAAAGTATATTCTTTAGGATTTCACATTTTTCTCTCTCGCAAGAAGAAACTTTATGGTCATACATGGTCTGTTTACATACTTGTCAAATAAATGGTTAAAAGTGTTGATTTGAGAAAGTTTTAGAAATTTAGCTTTTTTTTAAAAAAACACAAAACGTAATAGAACCTGACTGATGTCTCCACAGCTGTCTCCACTGACAGACCTTAAAAACGCTTTTCTTTTTAAACTAACCTATTCTGGCTCTGTTTGAAGGCATCATTGGTTTTAGATGTTAACAAAATCAAGTCTTTTCCAAGCTCTGACTGTTGTTTTACTTTGTGTGATTTTATTGTTCTTTTATTTATTGATTTTACTAGTTTTATTATGTCCCGTGTGTTTTCTTGTTTTGTAGCACTTTGAGAATTTTGCTAATGAAAAGTGTTTTACAAATTAATTATTCTTATGATAATGGTTTTCCAGTATTGTTTTTCTTTTCCATACTAGAGAATAATTTCCACACATTTTAGAACTGAATAGGACCCCTGTAATACATAAATTTCTTGGCTAAAGATGGATTTCAAGTGTGCTGCAGTAAATTTACCTTTAAGGCAAATATTAGATTCTTCTTTTGTTGGGGATCAAGAGTAAATTTATGTATTAAATATATGGGAAAGATTAGAAAAGGCAAGAAGGCAACAAATAATAAAAATTTAATCACAGAATTAATCACCAGAATCAAATTTACAGTAAATGTTGGAAGTTAAATGATTAAAACAAGGTTTTTGTGTGGGCAGCCTATAGGTTCTGGTTCATCAGTACCAAGAGTGGATTTCCCCACTAATGCAATAAAAACAGAAGATTTTATGTAACTCTAAAAAGTATGACAAGCTGAAACTCACATGTACAGTACGGTCTAAAAGCTTTATACAATATTTTTCTTAAATTTTGCTTCAAAACGGACAACACTTCTTGTAACCTTGTAAAGTGATCCGATAACAAGAAATCACCATTTTTGTGGAAGTTTTTCTTTGAACACTGGCTGCTGCTTTTTACTACTATTCAATCCAGTCGTTGGTCTTGTTTAGGTCACTTGTATCCAGTGTTATATAAAGTATCTCAAAGTGATTCTTTAGTAAAAGTACAAGTATCTTATCATAAAAATACTTTGGTAAAAGTTAAAGTCTTCTCTAAAAATATTACTTGAGTAAAAGTCTTAAAGTATCTGATTTTTTTGTACTTAAGTATCAAAAGTAAATTTCTGACACAAAATCTACTGAAGTATTAAAAGTAAAAGTACTGAGTAAAAGTGAGCAGTTAGATTTTACAAAATGACATTTATTGGGAGGTGACTTCTCAAAAAATATATTTTCTAACAGCGTGCAGCTGTGATGGGTTGTGTACAAGCTAATAGTGTGTCAGAATGGTATATATTTATACTTCTCATCCAAACACAATTAAATTCACTCTATCCAGGAGATACAATTTATCAGGATAGTATTTGTAAGTAATAACAATTCGTATTAAAATAGGAGTAACGACTTTCTACTTCATACCTTTTTAAAAAATGTAGTGAGTAGAAAGTACAGATAATTGTGTAAAAATGTAATGAGTAAAAGTAAAAAGTACGCTGAAAAATAATTACTCAAGTAAAGTACAGATAACCAAAATTTCTACTTAAGTACAGTAACAAAGTATTTGTACTTAGTTACTTTACAACTCGGCTTGTATCCTTTCAACTAAAACATGTGACACTGATCTAAGACTCATTCGGCAGATAAAGCTCCTAAACTCAGGAGATAAAGCTGTGCTGTGTCAACATATGCCAGACAACTGAACACAGCACCTACAGAGGGATCACTGGTTTCCACCTGTTTATCTAAACCTAAATCAAATCCGACAGACAGACAGGTCTTGGATGGATTGGGTTTTGTTTGTTTCTAAAAGATATGACTTTTGGATATTGTTCATCTGAGTCTGATAAGTTTTGTTTTAAGATGTTCCACTTTTTTATTTTTCACGTTTTTTTCAAAGATACGATCTCCTCGTGCACACATGGGTCTTCTCCAGGTACTCTGGTTTCCTCCCACAGACCAAACACATGAAGTTAATTGGTAACTCTAAATCGTCCCTAGTTTTGAGTGAGTGGTTGTTTGTCTCATTTGTCTTTAAGACACGACTACTGCTGGAGACAGACACCAGCTCCCAGCAACCCTGTATGGAAAAATGGGTTAAAAGACGCACTATGCTAAGATACGACATTCTTTTAGCTGACAGATGAGTAAAAGCAAAACAGCCAATGTCTGAAGAAAACAGAACAAAGACCAAAAATGTTGATCTAAACCACTTCAAAAGATTACAAGAAAGTCTGACTCCTTAGAGGAAAATAAGGCAAACAAAACAGTACTGTAAAAGAAAAGGATGTCACTGGAGGAAGGTTTTGCTGCTACCAGATGTTAACACAAAGCCCAACATGCAAAATGCTACTAATAGGTAAAAGGGGTGGAGCTTGCATGAGGCACTTACTGTTTTTGTGGGATGACGTAAAAGGAATAAAGAAATAAATGCAGTGGAAGGGGAGAAGGTATGTTGTAAGAGGAGTGGGGTAGTTCTATGTTTGTATGACAACCATTTGTGCCGTTAGAAAACAGTTGGTTACAACAACAACAACACAGGGCAGCTGCCATGTTTCAGCCAAACAACCAACGTGAGGCAACTTCAGAGAAAAGCAAACCAATGAGAGTGAAGAGACTGAGAATGACAGCTCTGAAAATCATCTGAAACAGGAAGTGGAGGAGATATGAGACAAAAGAAACATATATTCACACATAAAGCAGCCTGAAACATCTCCCCTGACTTCTCTTCAGGCTGAAACGTTACCATGGGTGTAGAAGAGTTTAGATCAAAAAATCCAAGACTAGCAAAGGCATGAAGTCACTGAGTACACCTGATAATCTGGCCTGCAGTGTTGGGTTAAGGTGGTATCTCACTGGGCTGTGACTAGTTGTATAATGATGTTCACAGGGAAGTTTCCAGATGATCTTGGACCGCTGTCGGTGGTTCTCTGCTTCCTTGCTTGAGTTACAGAGGCTTGCACTCTTGTTGCTTAAATTTTAAACATGTTCAATTTGTGCAACTAATTTTCTCTCATAAAAGTCACAGAATTGATGTGGTCTTCGCAAACCAGTGTCTGAAGTGCAAAAGCTGTATTCTGAAACTTGATTAGGAGCTCGCCTCTGACAAAAAACATGTTCAGGTCAATAACAAATTGAATAAAAAATATTTTTATAATAGTCCAGATCTGCCTATCTTTATTTTATAATGGTATTCTAGTAGATTAAATCACAAACATAGAGGTGGCTGCCAAAGTGTATGATGTGGGCTAAAAAATAATTCTCATGATCTACAGAGGTCCTCAACCCTGGTCCTGGTGGTCCACTGTCCTGTCCTGTATGTTTTAAATGTTTCCCTGCATCTAAACACCTGACTGAAATGAATAAGTGATTGACAGGCTTCTGCTAAACCTGATGACATTCTAAACAAGACTTAAGTTAGGAAGTTGAGAAATGTCTAAAGACATTCTAGAGACACTCTCATGAAGGACTCTCTCACGATTGTCTAGACACTCTCTAGAGACTCTTGTGAAAGTCTAGACCAGGGGTGCCCAACCAGTCGATCGCAATCGACCAGTAGCTCGTCGGCTGGTTCCCGGTCGCTCATGGAGCACAACGCTGCTCTAACAGC